AATTATATACTTTTTCTTATAAACAATTATTTTTTTTGCACTAATTGATTTGTCTCATTATTCTATACATAAAAGTATTACGGTAAGATAATCGAAAACTAAATATTTTACGAGATGTTTTATTTTTTATATCAAAATATGTCAAATTAAGATATAAAATAACTTGAAAAATACTTTATTAAAGTGTTTTGAAAAGCTCTCGAGATAAACTACAAGAATATGCAAAGAAAAATAGAGGTTGCCATTTAAGAAATTAAAGATGATCTTAACGTGACCTTGACAACGCTATTCAAGGTCATAATAATATTGCTATATAATGCGCCACATAAAACCCTACAACTTTTGTATAAAACATTTTTTTCTGTAACGTAACCCCTCCAAGGTTTTAAAGGGTCACGGTCTTTTTTGGACACATCAATGAGACAAATCAAATAGTATAAAAAAATAATTGTTTTTAAGAAAAAGTATGTAATTATTTACAATGTATTTTTTTATAATACCTGAAGAGATAGAAAACAAATAAATAAATAAATTGTATTTTGGAAGCCAAAGACTATGTCGGTAAGGCGTTAGGTGAAGCATACTAACAATAAGTAACAAATATGACAACAAAAAACATAAATATTTCTTATTAGTTTTGTATATATCTAATTCTCTTAATTTTAGCCATATATTTTTAACTTAAAATATTGAAGGAATTAGAAAAGAGCGCCGTTTAATTTCAAATACATATTATTGAAGAATAAATCCTTTACACCATATGTAAGATTAAAGTGATCCGCGTGCTATGTAAAATTTTGTAAAGATTTACCTACATTATTTTATACTGCTATTGTACAGAATACTATGTTTCGTAACAAAATATTTGTAATTAATATTAGATTTTCAGTAAGGATCCCAACTTACCATGTCCGCATTTATCGAGATGGTTAGTGGCTTCAAATTCTTCTTTGCAAGCACAAAGTTTTTTTTTCGGTTCGCAGTAAGAGCCTGCAAAACCGCATTCATTATCCGTCTCACAAACATCGCCAAATTTTTTTGAGCCTCTACCGGACAGATCTGAAAGAACATACAATTATTAAAAAAAAGATAAATACAAATATTTTTTATACTAACTTTTTTTTATTGTTTTATGTTAAACGTTTTTACACATGCGTAATCATACCAAGATATGATTACGTACCGCTTCTATCGTATTTCCGTTTAGGAGAAGTCGATGCCAAATTTAACGTCTCTATTACATAAAGTTGAAAACGGAAATTGAACATTCTGCGTACTTTTACGTACTCTACATTACATATGTATGAAACTCTCATTGCAGCAATTTATACACAAAAAAAGATTTTTCTTACAAACACAAATACAAACACACGCAGGTACGCAGTACGTACGCGCGCGCGCGCGCGTGTGTGTGTGTGTGTGTGTGTGTGAACATATATCGTAGGAGTGTATCACGTAGTGTTACAAATTGTTTTCTCTGAAACTATTATAGGTAACGAAGAAGCTCTTTTTGCAATTTTTATGGTTTGTTGGGGTTTTTTAAATGATAAACAAAATATCGCTGTCAATCTCTTAAAAAAGTCTTAAAAAATGCTTCCTTATATTTTTAAATTAAATAGTATGTAAATTGCTACTTTTTTGAATAGATTTCTTTTGATATGACAACATTTACTTAAAACGTTTTTTTATATTTTGCATAGTTAGAGTTATGACGAAAAATATTTTTCAGTGACTTAAAGACCGTTTTCTAAGCTATATCAAGTTTGTTTACAAACACTTCTTCAAAACATTTATCAACATATCCGCTAGCGCTGGTTTAATTCGATAGGAACATACAATAGTTTCAGTAGGTTATATGTATGATTCGCTTATTAGAATTTAAATTATGACGGAGACATTGCTTCAATCGCAATGCCATATAAAATTTTCTGATGTATTGCGCTGCAAACACTTGAGCTGCTCGACGATCATTTTTTTAGCATTCGCCTAATATTAATAACATTCACACACATTTATCAAAGTTTGCCATCCTTATTTTAAGGAATCTATCTAGTCTACTGAAACTATTTTTCTATCGAATTAAATCAATCAAGCTAGCAGATATGTTGATAGATGCTTTAAAGAAGTGTTTGTAAAAAAACTTGACATAGCTTAGGAACCATTCTTCAAATCGTTAAAAAATATTTTTCATCATAACTCTTTAACTATGCAAAATATGAAAAAAGGTTTTAAGTAAATGTCATATTAAAAAAGATCTATTCAAAAATGCAGAAATTTATATACTATTCCATTAAAAAAAATAGGTAGCTTTTTTAAGCCTTTTTAGAGAAATTTATAGCAATATCTTGCTTGTGATTTAAAAGGCTCTAACAAATTATAAAAAATGCAAAAACAAATTCGCTACCTGTAATAGTTTCGGAGAAAACAACTATTAATACTTTATATTTATACGATATATCTTGTATATATTATATGTATGTATATATGTATACTATATATGTATATATTGTGTATACTATGTATATATATATATATATATATATATATATATATATATTCATAAGAAAAAAAAATCTTATTTTGGCCTCTGGAATACGCTCCTAAAGTTTAGTGTATCATTTCAGATACACCCTGTATATACAGGGTGTTAAATTTCAAACGTAACAGGTGGAATATCTCGTAAACAATGCATTTTAGAAAAAAATGTTTCAGACAAAAGTTGTATGGTTTTGAGGGGGACATAAAATGGTGTCATTAATTTGACCTTGAATAGTTGCTTGAAGGTCACGTGAAGATCACCTTTAATTTTTTAAATGGAACTGCTTACTTTTTATTGCATATTCTTGTAGCTTATCTCGAGAGCTTTTTGTATCTGAAATGATGCACTAAACTTTAGGAGCATATTCTAGAGATCAAAATAAGACTTTTTTTCCTATGAACATGGGTCCGCAAATGAACCCTCCTCCGAGCTAGAGGCCCCTAAAGTTTGGGGAAAAAATTAAAAATTGGCTGTATTTCAGAAAAAAAATGGCAGAAGGTTGAAATTTGGTATAGGCCAGTAAGTTATGAAGTAAAGTAAGTCACTAAAATGAAAAAATAAAAACGTATTTCACACATTTTCGAATTTTAATTAATCAACTTTTGAAAAATAAGGTACATATTAAAAACATTTATTATGCGTGTTTGTGTGTGTATTCATAGCTTCTTTCAATAATATTAACAAATGACATTTAACATTTAAAAAAATCTTTTTATAATTATATTTAATAACAATTATGATTTAATTAATTAAAATTTAAAATTGTAATTTAAAGTTCTTATAACATAATTATCATTTTTAGGAAGGTGTTATTAATAGAAATTATATTAATTAGAAATATAGATTAATATTTTTTATTATCAAAA